TTCATTTTTTTTTTTCACGAAGGAAATCACAAAAAATGTGGGCACAAAATTTAAAGCACATAGGTCACCAAGAGCGAACTGCTTTAATGCCATATTGAACTAAACATGGTAAATACCAATATTAAACTAAACATGGTAAATACCAAAAATATATATGACAATATTTGGGAATTTCTTATATATTCATTAATCTCCACAGTGAAGTATATATATGAGTTACAATTGATATTACATATGTACTTCACCAATGTGGGACAATAAACTACTATTTACACATTAACTAATATATAACTCGCAACAGTATGGTATGGACAACAGAATCTCTCTTGATATATCAGTCCTTGTACTTTTCTTCCTACTTTATCAAGTCAAGTTGGACAAGGAACTTTCGTGGCATCTTCCTTCCAAAAGCAATTTCTACCAAGCATTTTCCAACCTATTACCTTTCAACGTGGATAGGAACTTTCGTGGCAATTTCCTTTCAAAAGTGATTTCTACCAAACATTTTCCTACCTACTATCTTTCAATCTGCACAGGAACTTTCGTGGAAACTTGATATCAGCAACAGTGCTTTTGCCGACACCCTGCACCTGAAATCAGCTGTAATAGCATCAACCAAAAGCATTTTTGAGAAAATCATTGACTGAGTAGAAATATGAAATCAAATGTTAAGATTGACTGGAAGTTGAATAGCTTACCGGAGGTCCAGACATCAGCAAGCACTATCCGGGACCGGCCTTGTCAGGCCCCGATCTCGACATACGTCCAGGATTGACAAGTGACGTCATCAAAAACCATATATCTAACATACCCCGGCGTCGGAATATGTACCAATCGCATCTCGAGCCTTGATTTGCGTAGTGATTATTTGTATACTTTATGGTTGCATCTAATCTCCTCGTTAGACTGCCTACGTACCCTTAATAGGGATCAAGTCATTCGTAGTCCACCATTTCACTGTACTCAAACATTTATCACATAAATCGCTATGTCTCAACAATATATCACAATGCATACCATGCAATATGTTCAAGAACCAATGACAAAGAACAATATTCTTCTCTAGCCACATTGATCAACTAGAATAATCATAATAATAACATCCATATCCAAAGTCATTCCGCAATCCCGTCAATTAATCAATTCATGAATCAAAATGCATGATCTTAGCATTTATTTATGTTAATCAATCAATGCGATAACTTATCATTTCACGAATTTAACTAAGGAACACTATATAATTCCCTACTAAGATTATGAGTAATAAACATGGTAATTCTAATTTATATTCACAAGGTTTATTAGGGGTAATTCCCATCCACTCGATTCTAGGGTTTTAGACTAACCTTAGGGATATGACCAAGTGCAAGGATTCCGAACCACTCAACGGAATCCAACAATCTTGGGTTCCAGACCACTCAACGGAACTAAAATATCAAGCTGCTTCTCGTAATCTACCCAGACCTATCATATGTACAATCATGCCTACATCAAGGAGATGGCACACTAGGCAAATCAGACATTTAGATAAGTTGCAAAGCTCGGGTGAGTGACAATAATACAAGTATGTGATATTCAATTAAAATAGATCATCGATCACAATCTATAAACATCAAGTATAAAATCATGTTTTGTGGAATCATAATCAAGACGTCGAAAACTCCATAGGAGTCACCTGGACATCCAACGGTTTTTCTAATTCAAACCATAAGATTCTTAAAAACCATTGTTCATATGTACATTAAAAATTAGAGCTAAAGGGACGCAGTTCTGCCGAAGCTTACATAAGTAACCAAACAGGAAGTGGCCCCCTATCACAGATTAACCAAGTAGAACCACCCCTGTAGTAATCAAGTAGGCAGTGACCCCCTATTGCGGATTAACCAAGCAGAGTCACTCCTACGCATTTGTTAGGCAATGATCACCTATCGCGGATTACCCAAGCATGATCACTCCTAAGTGTGTGTGTGTATGGCCATACCAAAGATATAAGGATCGCCTATCGCAGATTAACCAAGCAGGACCATGGTCCCCTATCGCAAATTAACCAAGCAGGACCACTAGGACCCCCTATCGCGGATTAACCAAGCAGGGTCATAGGCAGTGATCACCCATCGCGGATTAACCAAGCATGATTACTCCTAAGTATACATGGTCATCAGGATCGCCAATCGCGGATTAACCAAGCAGAATCCATAAATAATATGGTCCCCTATCGTGAATTAACCAAGCAGGACCATTAGTGACCCTCTACTAGCCCTCACTTTAACAAACATTTCAATAAGCAATTCGAATCACTTTTTCACAAATATTACCAATCCATGAATCAAATCACATTTAATAAAAATAGATCGATGGCCAATTATAAAAGAATCACATTTTAACATAAAACACATTTATAAAACCAAGTCATATCCACAAAGGATACTAATATAAGAAAACAGGGTAATAACCATATCACATGTATTAAAGTCACTCACCGAGACAATACCGCAAAGCCTCACTGAGTCTCTAGTAATACTAATTTTAGTTGTATGAACGATTCAAGACATGTTGATCAAAAGTCAACTCTCGATCAACGGTGGGGTCCACATCCCTATGTAATTTGATCTGGAAGATCTGCACATCAGATTTTGGATCCATAATATTTTAAAATACACGTTATGCCTCTAGAACAACATGCTAAAATTTCATCACGATATGACGGTCGGATCTCCGTCAATTTCTAGAATTAGGTGGTGATCAACAATTTGTTTTACAAACTTAGAAATCTCATTCAGGAAGATCCATAAGTCGGATTCCTGATCCGTAAGTTTCTATGATAGTCAAATATTATGTTCTATAACGCATTAAGGTTTGGTGACGATCCAACGGTCGGATCATCGATTCATATTTTAACCAAGTAATGTATCGTAATGAAACTAAGTTCAAACATTCAAATTATGTCATACGGATATCAAACATGAACCCAGGGCATCTAATAGTACTTAAAAAGATATTGTCGTCCCACTGGCCACGTGCCGCCACAGGTGGCGGTCGGCCATCCCGACTCGCCTGAAAATTCAACTACTTCAAAAAATTCTCAATTTTTACCAGAATGAAGATCTCAATGAGTAGAGTAAGTTTCATACCTGTGACTAAGGCCAATTTGGCTGGGAAACACCTCGATTTTACACAAACCTGACGGAAACCCTAAAGAGGGTGTGCTTCGATTTGATCCCCATACTCGCTCTGATGCCTCCACCACTGCTTGTGCTTTGTTCCTAAGGTTGAGGGGAGCCTGACCATGGTGGTATTCAATGGTGTTGATTTCCCAAATGGTGGAATCGCCGCTTCCATCCGGTGCACCCATTGGTGCGGTTTCACCCAAAAGCAATCCAATTTTCACAATTTTTCGGTTGAAAATGGGTGAGAGAACGATTGGGCTAGAAGCAAGGATCATTTTGGCACCGGTCCCGTCGTCAACGGTGGTCGAAATCGGAAAATATGGTCGGGTCGAGTCAAAAATACAACCGGGTCCAAGGAGGGATCCAGTTCCCTTCCTCCTCCTCTCTCTCCTTTCCCCTCCTTGTTTCTTCTGTTTTTGATTGGTCCTTCTCCCCCTCTTTTTCTCTCCTTTCTCTCCTTTCTTTTCTTTCCTTTCTATCCCAGCCGTCCATCTCTTATTTTGCTTTCATCCTAGCCACACACGTGGCACATCCTTTGCTCCAGATTTTCTGGAGCCTTCTAAATGAGGGCGCCCCTAATTTCAAACGTTAATAACTCTTTCGTTATAACTCTATTTCATGAACGGTTTACGCCTACGAGTTCGTGAGATCGAGCTCTATTCAAAGATATAAATTGTGACCTCGAACGGTCTAAGAATTTTAAATAATTAATCTCCAAACTTCACTCTTTGTAACTAGTTTAATTAAAATCTAATTTCAAATAAACTAATATAAATTCCCAAAAAATAATATAAAATCTCAATAACACAAATACTTAGATTACAACAGTGAAATCCAGGAACGGAATTTCACAGGCCTTCTTACATCCATATTCGAATGCACTTAATAGACGTGATTCTCTAGTGAAAAGGACACTTTCTAGACTCAAGTGGTTTTTTAGGGAGAGAATCGAACAAAAACTTGAAAAACATGAGTAAAAGTTCAAAACTATTTGAGCTACAAGTCACCCATAAGCAGGTATAGACTCAAACTTTGTCTTTTTGTTGGTCCTCAGTGTTTATGTTGTTGCTTTTGTGGCAAGGAACAGTTGATAACATCACTTATTTGTTATCTATTTTGTAGCCCAATACCTCTGCAATTGCAATGACAAGGAATCCAATGTTCCATCAAAGATCAAAGAACATTGCGAGGAGATATCACTATATAAGAAAGGCACTGCAGTTAAATATAATCAATTTGATTCATTGCAAATCTGACAACAATTAGCTGACATTTTTACAAAGGCATCGCCAAAGGACAGGTTTTGTATATTTAGAGAAATGCTTGATGTTAAACCAGTAACAAGCTTAGAAGGAAGTGTTGATATGTAAGCATGATTGCTGGATCAAAGTCCAGAATTGGTGAGGTTCAAGTTTGAAGAATAGAAGGATTTGTTCTTAGATTTATTAGTGTTCTTATTTTGCAATGAACGGTAAGATTATAACATCTTAACGGTGTATAGCTTGGTACGCGTCTAGTTTGTTATGTTTTTAAGTGAAACCGTGTGCCTTCCACGTGATCACCATCACGTTGCTTATGAAGGCAACGGCTATAATGTTCGGCTTTGATGCCGAGAATCTAACATTCGAATCCAACGTGATTTCCAGGAGCAACAAACTCCATTTTTGTTCTTGGGTATTCTCTACAATCCCAGTTCATTGAGCACTTCAATTTCTTGTTGAATTTCATACAAAATCCTCACTAAAATCAACCTAGAAAACTCTAAAACACTAACATGTATATTTATATGGATCAAGAAAACAGAAGTGCAAAAGATTGTAGAACAAGGAGAAGTTACCAAACGAGTTCTCGGTTATTAGTTTTAAAAAATGGAAACTAGAACCTGAAATGGTCATTAAACGGCCTCTTAGTTTTAAAGATTAGAAAAGTGCAAACGAACTCATACATTAATTTATGTATATGTGCGTACACAAACTCCTAATATATCAGAAATTGTAGATCATCTGAAGTGGACGGTTGCCGTTGCTCCTCCTCCTCAATATGAATAGGAACATTGAGATCAATCTGCCTGCGCTTCGGATGATCATCCGCTGGCTTCAAAGATAAGGAAAGCTGTTATTGCTGATGATCATATTCATCATCGATGATATCTAAGGATCCATATGGACGAGGCCTCTTCCCAAGACTACTCGTTGGTCCCAAAGACAAGGGAAGCTGTTCGTCTTGGTTGTCTAAAAAAGGTCGTACCCAGTGCACAAGGGTCCCGCTTTACGCAGGGTCTGGAAGAGGTGAATGTCGGCTAGCCTTATATTACAACCACTCGTCTAGTAAGGGGTGCACCCCGCAGCTTTTAATGCATGTGCCTTTCTGGAAACAAAATATAACTTGACAAATATCTCCCTGCTGCTTGTGCTCGTCTAAATCCACTAACATGAGCCACACATGAGCTGCCTTCATGTCCTTGCCATACCAGAAAACTTTTTTTTTAAACTGTGGTATTCCGCTGATGGAAATATAATGAGGATGATCAATTGGTGGTTCAAGAACAAAAGATAGAGCCAATCCTGACAACATATCCCCTTGTAAATTTAGAGGAATTTCAAAACAAAATTCAAATGTTGTTGGCTCTTCAAAGGAAAAATATCTGAACCACTTTGGAACTTCATTGCCCGGAAGAACAATTTCCAATTTAGAGCACCGAAGAGATTCCTGCAATAGCAAATAATGTAGATAACTAATTACAATTAGTCATGATCTGACCTCTCTCTCTCAAGCATCAACAAAATATATTTAAATTTCAAGAGAAATTAAGAAAGGAAGAGGAACCTGATTCAACAACAAATTGTTTTCCAACTTTGCAACCTCATCGCCACTTAGTCCAAAGCAATTGCGCAAGTCCAGACGCTTAAGCATTGGGGGCAATTTTGACATTTTCTCCAAAGATGTGCAATCATCGAGATACAAGTGCTTTAGTATTGGTGGAAGGACTTGTGGAATTTCCCGAAGCCTCTTGCAACCACTCAAAGAAAGTTCCTCCAAGATGGAAAATTGGCTAATGCAATCCGGAAGACAAACAAAATTGTTTCTCGACAGATCAAGAAATTTTAATCTGGAATAGCAATCAAGAGGCACAAGAAAATTACTTTCTGAAAGATTGCATCCTCTAAAATCAAGATAGTATAGGTTGGAAAGGGCTATTGTGATACACTTGTCATCTAAAATATCCAAATCAGCTGTGGTCAGATTTGGACATCCACATATGTACACATTTGTAAGGTTCTCACAACCACGTGCTTCCAAGCTTTCAAGCCCAGTAAGATAAGCAATTGATGAAGGCAATTCTCTTATGCCACTTCTTTTTATGTCCAAACGCCATAGGGATTTCATCTTGTTCTCTATTACTGGGAAAGTCTCAAGCCTTGTGCAACCACAAAGAGAGAGCTTTTTAAGGGATCTCAATCCAAGTCTTGTTACAAACCTCGTAAGCCTAGAGCACCCACTAAGATCCATTTCGACAAGTTTATCAAGGAATCCAACAGAATCATCAACCTCAACCAAACTTTTACATTCACTTAAGTCCAAGTGCTTTAGGTTTGGGATTCCGGAGAAGTCGGGGATTTTTTCCAAGAATTTGCAACCACTTAAATTCATAGATGTAAGCTTTGCTGAATTCTGTGAAACCAAAAACAAAGACAAAACAAAAATTCACTGGTTTTAAAAAGAATACTATGAAACACTTAGACTACTTTTTTTTGGGAAATAAAATATATGTTCAAATAATAATGATTCAAAATAATTTGAAGTATGTACCTTAAATCCCTTTAGTTGCCTGATGCCACTATATGATATATCAAACATAACAAGATGCCTTGGATTATAATTAGATGGCAAATTGAACACAACCGTATGCTCTCGATGAATATTGGATCGTCCACTCAATTCAATCCACCTCAAATCATTGGGCAGATAATCAACGTGTCCAAAAAAGCGTGCATTACGGTATATAAAAATTTCAAGATTTACCATCTGCGAGAAGCTTCCTACATTCAAAGTTATCACATCTGGTTCGGGCAGCTCCACCACAATGCCTTTAATTTTCTTTGTTCCCTAAGATGGAAAAAAGAAATAATGTTAGCAAACAAGTCATATAACAAAGAATTCACAAAGGCTGTTTTAAAATCCTTTTTTTTTCTATATCATGCCAAATTAAATGTAAGAAAATATATTGTACTTACTTGATTTTCAGTTAGAACATGGTACACATCTTCATGAAACCACAACCTGCTACGTTTCCCTGGTTCAGTGGGAGATTCTTCGTAAACTATACGCTTACCCATTTTTTCTAGCAAGTCATGCATCAAAATCATATTATCTTCAATAGTTATGATGGCATTCTCAACGAGTACTTCAATACAATCTTGAGGTACATTGAGCTTCGAACTTTTTAATATCTGTAACACGTAGTCTTTATGGTTACCCTTAAAGAAACATGCAATGTCTAGGAAAACTTGTTGCACAACATTATCCCAGGCATCATAACTTTTTTGAAGTATTCTTTGAATATCTGTATAAGGTTCTCTTACGTAAGAATCATAACTATCCAATATAGCTTTCCAGCGATCTATACTTTTCTTACGCAGATGAGAACCTATCAAATTAAGAGCTAACGGAAGGCCTTGAGCATAAGCTATTGCACGACGTGCAAGTATTAAATAATCATCTGGAGGTTCATTTATTCCGAAGGCGTTCAAACTTAAAAGCTCAAGAGCCTTGTCATCCATTAGCTTTTGGACCTCATATATCAACTCAACTCCATAAGATTCCAGCAATCCTCTATTTTTTGAGGTTATGATCACTCTGCTACCCTCACCGAACTTATCAACTTCAACCAAGTTGTTTAACTGCTCCAATCGATCCACATCATCAAGAATTAAGAGAATCTTCTTTCCCCTCAACAGTTTCTTTATAAGGCTGATTCCTTCATGAACATCGACAACTTTCAACTCTGTACCGCATAGAACCTTAGAAAGAAGAGTGTTTTGTAGTTGGATTACGCCTTGACGTGATGTTGATGCTTCTCTAACATCTGCCAAGAAACATCTACCTTCAAACTTATGAGCAATCGCATTATAAACAGCTTTTGCAATTGTTGTCTTGCCTATTCCAGATATCCCCCAAATCCCAACCACACAACGATCATTTCCACCAACACCTAAAAGCTCTTTCACCTCTTGTACGCACGATTGTATTCCAACTGGGTGTTTGGCCACATTCAAACATGTGTCACCACGTACTTTGACTAAGATATCCTCAACAATGTTGCTGATAAATGTAGCTTCAGATCTAGCAGTTCAAAACAAATAACACATTTAATCAGTGACCTTTTTTTCTATATTTCTATCCAAATGAAAAAGGGTTTCAAATTGCACTAGTGATTACTAAAGTCCAGCATGTGTCGCTTGCTAGAAATCTAAAGAGTAAAAATGAAACACAAAATTGACATTATTATAGAGAATTAACTATATAAATAAAACACTGTAAGGGGAAGAAATATACGTACTCTCCCCTTCGGAAAGCATATCCTGACAAATTTGCTACTTCTAAGAGCTCTCCTCCACATCAAGACCTTCTCCTTGTTGTCTTTGAATTTGCTCTCATGGTTTGTAAATGCGTCACCGAAACTATTCGTTTGATTTCGTACATGGGGCGGATCCACCTTGTAAAAAACTGGCAAAACTATTTGTTTCTTTGATTCTCTACATTGAAGGATCTTGACGAGCTCGTCCAAGCACCACCTTGAGGATGCGTAGCTTTTAGAGAATATGACAAGAGAAATTCTCGACTCTTCAACTGCTTGGAGAAGAGCCGGAGATATTTCTTCTCCTCTTGGAAGCTGGCGATCGATGAAGGTGTGGATTCCTTTATCGACCAAACCCTTGTATAAATGATCGGTAAAATTGGTGCGTGTATCCTCTCCTCTAAAGCTCAAAAGACATCGTATTTCCATGAAGGATTACTGGTGAAGGAAGAAGAAGAGACAAGTTGACCTGCCATAGGAGAACTAAAGCCAGATAAACTTCAAAAAAGAGCCTCTCAAAGGATTGGAATATGCAGTATGGTATGGACGATGAACTCTCTCTTGCTATATCAGTCCTCATTTTTCTTACTACTTATCTGGTAAAGTTGAACAAGGAACTTTCGTGGCAACTTCCTTCTAAAAGCAATTTCCACCAAGCATTTTCCTACCTACTACCTTTCAATGTGAACAGGAACTTTCGTGGTAATTTCTTTCCAAAAGTGATTTCTACCAAGCATTTGCCTACCGACTATCTTTCAATCCGGACAGGAACTTTCATGGAAACTTGATTTCAGCAACGGTGCTTTTTCCGACACCCTGCACCCGAAATCAGTTGCAGCAGCATCAACCAAAAGCACTTTTGAGAAAATCATTGACCAAGTAGAAATATGAAATCAAAAGTTAAGAGTAACCGGAAGTTGAAGAGCTTACCGGAGGTCCAGCCGCCAGCAAGCACTTTCCGGGATCAGCCATCTCTCGCTTCTCCTCCGCCTCCCTCTTCCACTGTCGTTCGCTTTTACCCCCGCTCGATCAGCCAACACGACTAACAGAATCCACAAGTCGTTGTGGAAGAGAGGATACGCATGTTGGATATAAGGCCCGACCGGCCCATATCAGCCCAAAAAACTTGACCTTCTGTGAGGTAATTTTAATTTTAACCCCACAGTAACCGTAATAATTTGATATTAAAATAGACCGACACTGTCAAAAGACTATCTCCAATGGTGGCTTATAACCTAAAATTTTCTTTTTTTTCCTCTCAAAACCCACTCCAACCCAAAACTTAAACCAAACCTAAAAGGAAGGCAAATATCAACCACAATTTAGCCCACAAAATAAAATGAGACCTACAAGTGAGAGTGAAAAGTGGGCTGTGAAGCCCACACCCCCAAAACCCAACACTCCTCACGCGCCCTTTTTTTTCCAGCCGAAGGCCCACCCATGTGGGTTGGTCCCCCTTGTTGTCAACCTTACTGTAGCCCAACAACTACTTTTGTTCATCCAACTGCCAGTTTAATTGGACCGTTGGTTAATCAAACGGTCCACGTTCAATTTTTTTATATATTTATATATTTATTGAATCTAACGGCTTAGATCGAATATAATCAAATTTAACGGTAAAAAAAGAGATCTAACGGTCCAAATTCAATCCAACGGCTAAAATAATTTAAAAAAATATATTTAACTTAAAATTCAACCAAAAATTCTATAAATACGTATATATTTGTTCAAACATCCACACAAAACTCACTTTTCTCCTACAATTCTTCAAATTTTTCTTTCTACCACTTCTTCTCATTTCCAAAATTCTCAAGATGGCAAAAGAGCATGTTAGAGGTCGTAATTGGACCTTTGACGAAGATATTGCTTTAAGTTTGGCATGGATTTCTATTTGCGAAGATGATGCCGTTGACACGAATCAAAATAGAAAGGTTTTGTGGGGTAAATTGTTGATAAGTTCCATGAAAACTCCAACGCCGATCAAAGGGAAGTTGGTGGTGTTTATGATTGGTGGAAGATTATCAACAAAGCGTGCACTTTGTAGAAGGGAAGCTTGGAGAGAGCCATGGTTGACATGCCTAGTGGAAGGGGCGGCTCATAAATTGTGAGTTTCTTTGTTGATATTTTATTTGTCATGTACATAATAGTATTTGCAACTAATTGTTTTTATGTATTTGTTGCATAGGGTGACAAAGCAATGGCATTTTATAAGACAAGAACTACACCCAAAATCAAGCTTTTAAGTTACATCATGCTTGGATCATCCTCAAGGATTGTCCGAGGTGGAGAACCAATGAGGACCAACAATGGGGAAGATTATTTCATAGTGAAGCCCCACCCCCAAATAATGTCAATGAATGTGTGAATTTTGCCGACAATGAAGGTTTCGAACACATGACCCCAACTTCTTTTGCAAGGCCCCTGGGTAGAGATAAGCAAAATAAAGCAAAGAGAAAAGGGAAGTCCCAAGATCCGATATGTGCACAATTTGCTAGCGAAATGGTAAGAATGAATGAAAACCATATTTCTCGGCAAGAAGAATCGGCCCAAATGTGTTTGGCCATGAAGTAACAAGGGGATAGGGAGCAAGAAAGGTTCAAAATTAATTTGATGATGGAGGACCTCGACAAATACACTCCAGAGAGGAAGAAATACTTACGTGGTAAGCGAAATGACATTTTACGAAGGAGTGCCACAAGGAGTATATTTCAAGATGACGATTCATCTCAAGACTATCACCCAAGTCCATCACCAAGTCAAGATGGTGGATATCATTATTAAGTTTATGAGTTTTCGATTGTATTAAGTTTATGTGGTTTATTAATTGTCTTTTTTTTTATTTTTATTTTATTTTTAAAGTTTATGTGGTTTATTAATTGTCATTTGTATTAAGTTTATGTGGTTTAATAAATATCGTTTGTATTAAGTTTATCATGATTTTCATGTATTGATTTAGTGATTTTTTCAAAATTTATCAGAATTTAAATATTTTTAGGTTAAAATGTTCATATAATTAATTTAGGATAGTCTACATAATTTTTTTTAAAGTTAATTTAAAAAAAATTAGCCTTAATCCATTCTTTGATAATCTCGGGCTAAAATTTTAAGCCAAAAGGGTTGGAGCAGAAAAACTGTTTCTAGACGAAAACCTAAATTTTCTAGGCTAAATATTTTTAAGTTTTAGGTCACCATTGGAGATGGTCTAATTGTTAAGGAATCTCCTACATCAAAGGAGATCAGTTCGTCAACAACACAATCTGCTCCATCAACCGCACAATCGGCTCCTCCGTATGAAAGTCAACTATGATATATGCTATGCTGTCTTTCCTATTCGATTTGATTAGGATTGATTCAGTCATTCAAGTATGATTGTATTTACCATATTAGGATTGTATTCAAAGTGTATATAATCACAGACCTGTACCTATAAACAAATCAATGAAATATACCAATTCTACATGGTATCAAGAGCCCAAAAACTCCAACGAGCAATTTTTTTTTTGATCCCTTTCTTCCCTGTCTTCATCCATGGCCACTAACGCCTCTATAACCAACCCTCTACCAGAGCTCAACTCCATTACTCCCACCTTGATCACAATTAACGCTATAGCCCAACTACCTGTGAAACTCATACCCACCAATTACCCATCCTGGCGTGCTCAGTTCAACGCCCTCATTTACGGCTACGACCTCATGGGTTATGTGGATGGTTCTAATCTCTGCCCATCAACCACTTAAACCGTGCTTCGCACCTTTTAGATTCGGTAAGATCAACTCCTCATTCATGTGATTCTTGCTTCCGTCTTACCGCAAGTCATCTCCCTTATTGCCTCTGCCAAGACATCCAAGGAGGCTTGGGACAAGCTTCTCCATCTCTTTGTTAGCAAAGCCCGTGCTCGCGTTCTTGGTATCAAAGAACGCCTTAATCTCCTACGCCGTGAGAACAAGCCTATCTCTGAGTATCTGCAAGAAGTCCGCGTTATTGCAGATGAGTTCGCCATCATTGATGTCCCCCCTCTCTGATGACGATCTCCTTCTCTACATTCTTAATGGTGTTGGCTCTGACTTCAAGGAAATTGATGTGGTAGTTCGTTCCCGCGACACCTCAATCTCTTTTGAAAACCTCCATGACAAACGGGTTGAACATGAAGCTGCTCTCAAGTGTGATGATACCGTTGTTGCTACCCCAGTGATCACTGCCAATGTCATTCAGACATCTCGCTCCCACACCTCAAACTGTGGCTACCGCTCTTACAATTCCAACTCCAACCGTGGGTTATTTGCCTCTCGCAATCCTTCTCGTGGTTCCTTCGGGCACCCCCACACATCTTCCATTGACACCAATTCTCGTAGTTCCTATAAGCCCACCCAACAATCTTTCACCGACAATGGTCGCCGCTCTACCAACATGAATAACACAGGTTATCGTGGTTTCTGTCAATGGTGTGGCACTCAAGGTCATAGTGCTAAACGATGCCCTCAACTCCAATATGGACCTCACAGTCCGCTAGTGGCCAATCCTACCACCCATGGCTGGTTCACTTCTTCTCCAACATGGTTGCTTGATTCCGGTGCCTCTCACCATTACCTCCAATGTCAACACTCTTTCTGATGCCTCTATATATAATGGTCCTGATGAAATAATTATTGGTAATGGTTCAGGTTTGGGTATCACTCATGTCGGTTCAACCACTTTACCCTCCTCATCCTCCCAATCTTTCAGCTTATCAAACGTTCTATGTGTTCATTCTATGAAAAAAGACATTATTTCTATCTCTAAATTTAATAAACAAAATAATACCTCTATTGAACTTTTTCCTGATATCTTTCATGTCAAAGATCTGAGCACGGGGGCAGTTCTTCTTTGAGGCCCGAATAAGGATGATGTGTACGAGTGGTCTCCCAAATCTTTTTGTCAACCGCAAGCTATGGTGGGTGTGGTGGTCTCTCCCAACCTCTGGCATCGTCGTCTTGGTCACCCCAGCCACCAAACTCTCCAACAAGTCATTCGTTTGTCTTCCATTAATGTGTCTTCCAAGTTGTTCGAGTCTGTTTGTCATTCATGTTTATGTAATAAAAGCCATCGGTTCCCGTTTGGTACTTCGTCTCTCACCAGTCATGGTCCATTAGACCTCCTTTATAGTGATGTTTGGGGCCCTGCTCCGTACTCGTCTATTGATGGTTTTTCCTATTATGTTATCTTTGTTGACCATTTTACAAAATACATATGGCTCTAGCCTCTAAAAAAGAAATCTGATGTGTTTTCCACTTTTGTCACCTTCAAAGCACTTGTCGAAAATTACTTCAAAATAAAAATCACTAGATTATACACTGATGGTGGGGGCGAATTCATCAAACTCCAACATTTTCTCTCATCCAATGGCATCACCCATCTTCTTACACCACCTCACACTTCTCAACACAATGGAGTCGTCGAACAATGAAATCATCATATTGTTGAAACTGGTCTCACCCTTCTTCAGCAAGCTTCTTTACCTCTCACCTATTGGTGTTATGCCTTTAAAACAACTGCCTATCTTATCAACCGCATGCCTACTCCGCTTCTTCACAATCTCTCCCCATTCACTCAACTCTTTGATGAATAACCCAATTACTCCCGTCTTCGTACATTTGGGTGCTTGTGTTTTCCTTGGTTACGTCCTTACAATTCCAATAAATTACTCCCTCGTTCCCGCCTATGTCTCTTCCTTGGTTACTCATCTAATTAAAATGCTTTTCAATGTCTTGATCTTTTCTCCAACAAACTTTTTATCTCTCGGCATGTTCAATTCGATGAGTCCACTTTTCCTCTTGCCAACCTCCCTTCCTCCATTCCCTATGTCACTGTTGATAACTCTCACACTTGGGTCTCCTCTCTTCCTCCAGTTACTCATGTTCCTATACACTTACCCACCAGGCCTGTTGAGTCGGTTGTTTCTTCTTCGTTGCCACCACATGTCACATCATCATCA